GAGTTGTCGTTTGTATGGGGGTGACAGCTGATTAACAAAAAAACAGATTTTAAACAGATTTGGTCGAGTGTAAATAGGTGTGACTCACAATAAACCCCTGCGGGCTACGGTGGAAGGTCGAATAGACCCACTCACGTTGGACCTAACCTGACCTAAGTATACGTTTCTCCAGTTTACAGATGGTGCAGAATGCTTTCATCTACGAACTGCACATCCTATCCGTAGTCCTCGCACCGTCCTTTCTTGAGATGGTCTGTTGCACATTCGTCTATCCCGAATTTGCGTGAGCATGGGTCAACTCTTCCACCAGACTCAAGGACAGATGGATATTATTTTCTACAGAAGCATAAAGTTCAAAATTAACCTTATAAAACAAACGGTTGACTTTTGCCTCCGATTTTTGGGATGCCACAGTTTTACCCCCGAATATTCCTGAGCGCAACGGATAATGGCATGAGTGAGAAGAGAGGGGACTGAGAAAATCATCCTGAAATATGCCCCTTCTGAAAGTGACCCACCCTGAGTGGACCAGATGTTATGGTGAAGCGAGTTCACCAGAGTGGTATCAGTTGTTCTAGGCGTCTCACTATTCTGTCGTGACTCGCAAGGCATCTGAGCAAATGCAAGATGACCTCATGCGATGCCGCATTGAAACCCTTGCGGTAATCGATCCAGGTCATAGCGAGGGAACGCTTGAACTTTATTGAGTCCTGCGTTGCACCTCTATCTATGACAATATTTTCTTAACATCTAGCGATTCCTCTTTTCGACCCTCGCTGCTCATATATCCGTTCGAACACTAGGTCAACTGCGGGTATCATTATTATTATCATCATGATCATTATGTAATATATACAAAGCGTTTGTGTTTGAGCTCGTGCTTCATGAACCCAGAAGAATACAATGAAATTTCAACGAGAAACCTGTTACAGGGATCAATATTGTTGAAATGGGTCTATATGAGAATAGAATAGAATAGAAACTAAAAATCCTTATTTCCGTATCACACTGGATGAATCGATACAAAACAGTTTGTAGGGAATGGATAAAAACGTGACTGAATATAAAATATTTGACAAGGTGTATTAGAAAATCAATAATACAATAATCTGGTGTTTTCAGACTGAAAATATTATTTGGATTGTTTACACGTTGCACCAAATGGCATATAGAGGAAGATAAGGCAATGCGTCTCCAGTGTTTCCGAAAACTTGGAAGAAACGGACGAGTCATAAGGCTCCCTAGCGACGAAGTCACATTTTACTGTACCTATGCTTGGTTGAAAATGTGTTTTCCAGTTCCAGAAAAGGCAAGAATTTCACTCATATATCTTCTAGTATCATCAGTATAATGTTAGTCTCGGTCTTCCCAGATTCCAATCTCAGCAGGACTCATTATAACAACGACACACTGAAACTTCCATACGCCAGGTCTGAACTGGGTAGTGTAGAGGGAATGATAATGAGGAATTCGCAGTGATATATGCGGCTGATATGCCGTGTCGACTATGATTCCCTTATTTGGAGAACAAACATCGGTCATGTTGATATTGTGCTGGATGATTCTTTTAATCAGCTTTGTGGATTCAACTGAACGCTTTGATATATTGCGGTATGATTTATTATGAGGGATACAAAGTGATCGATTTGCTGGTATGTTCAATGTAAATGTAAATGTGTTTGATGTAAATTTAATCGGTTGATTCGTAGAGCATTCTTCTTTATTTCAATTTAGTTATTCAACGATTCGAGATTCAAGTAGAAGTTATACTTGAGTATATACTTCAAAAACCGTTCAACATTTACTTTAGGTTTTTTCATTTCACCTTCATTTCGAAGGTATGGAACAATTTGCTTGGATCGACATTTGTGAGAAATTTTACGTTTCAATCTCCGGGAAAAGAAGATAAACAAAGGATCACGACGTTTTGAAGTAATTCAACATAACCTATTCTATCATTCAAAAGTTTGAACTGGAAAATTACTTCAAAATAAGCACTTTCTTGTATTACCAGATATGTGTTTCACCAGCCAAGTTGGCATTTTCAGGAGATGAAGAAAGTATAGGTTTTGCTGTTCCCTCCGTTTTAAAGGTTTAACATTTTCAGTTCCTTTCGGATTGAATGAAGGAATGAGTGCTTCAATAATCATAATGATGAGCATTACAATGATACATGAGATATATATATATATATATATATAGGAAATCTGAAGCTTTCACGGATAGGAATATGCTGAACTGGTTTTTCCGGGTATTTGATCCGTGTATGTGATATTATCTCTAATTTCACCGACGTTTCGACAAAATCTCATTTGTCATTATCAAGGTGTGCTGTTACGTGTTCAGAAGTTTTGTTGACCTTACCCACTTGACTACTTTCCGTGAAAGTATCTGTAGAAGAGAGACAGATTTCTAACCTTTCTTCGATGTTCTAGACTATCAAGGTTTGCAAGTGATGTTCGCGTCTTCCAAAGTATTAATTTGAAATTCACAGAAAAGTTTATAAAACTCGTTATTAATTGTTTCAGCTAGGTCAAAGAGGTCACTACTATGTGAATAGATTGGAGTGTCATCTGCAAATATATGACATGCATTTAGATAATGCATACCCTAGGTCGTTCACATATGAAGAAGTGAATCCAGATGTTTGTTTGGTATTTTATTGTAGAAGACAAAGTTATCACGTTCTGAATAGTTCACATATAGGTTGAATGGAAGTTGAATGCAATATACTCAAATAGGAAGTCATTGAATCAAAAATAGAAGAAAATATTATGCGATGCCCTAGTTCTCTCTCAGGCCAACTATGCAGATATAGTATATGGCCCAGCGTTACGTCTATCTGATAAAAAAAATATAGACCCTTAAAACGCATGCAGAAACTAGGAGTAGACAACACGTGTCTCATCATTTGGAAAGACTGGGCTAGCTAAAAATGGAAGTTTGACGCATATTTCATGCTACAATAAGATTATAACAACAGAAGTATCCAGTTATCTCCATGACAAAATAAAATATAGAACAGATATCCCAAATTTGAACCTGAGATTCAGAAATCAAGTAACTACACCTCATATATGATGGAATCGGCCGATACTTGATGAAAATCCATAACTAACGTATTCTAAAAACACTTTATTGTGTGATTTTCATTAGATAGTTTTACAAAAACGCAACACGTGTTTCGTCATGCAATGGCTTCCTCGGGCGTGTCTTAATAAGAGGAGGAAGCCCGTATTCACGTATGTTGTGGATGTACAATATTTTTTCATTTTTTTTTGAGGTACAATGGACAACCAACTTCTTATTGAGTCATTTTTGACAAGATCTGAAATTGAATTTTGCCTTTTGATAGGTACGTGGGTGGATTGTATATATTGTATTCCATACAATGTATTTTTTTCTCACCTATCAATGAAAACAATTATTATTATTATAAATTTTATAGTTCTTTTCCTGACAAAAGGACTGCATATCACTAATACACAATCTAAGTATAACACCCTAATATGTAACAGCAATGTGTGATACTGTGTTCGATATTATGGATGACAACAAAAAACAAAATATTTTTCATCTCACAATATTGTTTTGTTTTTGGGCTCTGGATTTGACCAGATGACATATAGTAAAAATGGCGAAGAAAAATAGAAGACAAATCTCGTTTGGAATTCGATGTCAAAGCTCAGCTTTTGAATAAATCGCCTTGTTTATTATTCCTATCTGTGATTTTCTGTTGATTTATGGGTTGGTATGACGCTTTCTTAAGGGGATGCCATGTTCACTCAAACAATCAAGTCGTGAGTTATTATTTTCACAAAGTTAGCAATTATGCAGGTTGTTTCAATAGTGATAATCATCAAATAGTTATGGAGCCTCAAGAATTTTCCTTGTGTTTTGTCCTTGGGAAAATATTCATATATGAATGCTAGTGGTGGCAGTAATATATTTTGAATTTCCACTTATCTTATCAAATATCAATCGAGGATTCAATCAAATGAGGATTTGATCAGTGATGAAAATCATTTTGAAAAACTGTACCTAGTGAAGAAGACCGGTGATATTTTTATTCCTCTTTTGATATCGTTTGAGTTCCTAGTCTAGGTGGATAATATTTCACATTTTACACGATTTCAATGATATGGACATTCAATTAGGTATTTTTTGGCATACATAAAACTTTCATGTGAGAAACAGCTTCGTCTCATGAACAAAGCATTAGAAGCAAAAAAAAAAGATTCCATATACCAATACTGAAATCAAAATGAGCCTAGAGAGTGTATCTAGGAGAGATATATACAGTATGAAAAAATAAATATTGCGGAATGATATCTCGAAACATGCAGCTCTCCCAACAGTTCTGTTGAATTCCTGCCAGAAAACAACTACTTTCCCGGCTAAAACCACGATGGATATTGAATTATATTCGACAAATATTTATGCAAAATACTTCAGAGAGGATATTCTGTTATAGATAGAGTTTCCATAGTAAACAAATCTTTCTCTTAGACGACGATTTCATACATGAAGTCGTGCCGCATTGAAGTCAGTCAAGAACCAGGAACACCTTTGTTTAGGTAGGATCTTTTCTGCATTGATGAGAAGTATCTATTCAAAACCGATCTGAAGATGATCTACTTGATTCATTTTAGCCTGGTCTTGTTGTTGGATGAACGAGATGCATCTGCTAGGCTATTCTCTGCGAGGTATCTTGCAAAAATGTCTGTTGAATATAATTCAATGTCCAGCGCGGTAGTAAACAGGGAAGTTATTATATTCCGATAGACAGACATTCACTAGATTTGGTAGGCACATTGAGAGAGATGGATGTTTCAGTATTTCATTTCAAAATATGCATTTTGTTAATGCCTGAATAGGGATTTTGAAATTTGTGAACTGGCATCTTTGGAGAGAAATTCGATGACACATTTCGATCATTCCTAATTGAAGTTCACAAATTTCATTCCACTGGTATTTGCTTAAAACCAATAAAAACTTACTTGTCTCGCTGACATTTGGTTCAGTTTCAGTCGGTGAGGAATATGTTCTAAGTCGGTTATAACTATGTGAATCTGAAACAAAAACAGTCCAATGATAAGCACAATACGTAGAACTGGAACTCGAAACGTAAATTGAATCTAATGAAACATCAGTCACTATAAGTTGTAAAACAAATTTGTTCATTGCGTTTGTTTGTCTACCTGAACGCGAAGAACTCAGAAAGCGTCAAGTTTTCATGATGATACTACCTCAGGATCCCCAAGAACCCCAAGAACCCATAATGTATAAAATAGAATTGTGAACAGACTTCATCATTTTCAGGAAGTGAATAGTAAACATTTCAAATCTTCATTGGAATGAACTGAGTGAGTTTGTAATTTTTTTTTTAATTATGACATTTATCGTTTGTGGATAGGGAATTGGAATAGCTATCAAACGATGTATCACAAGACTACTTTTTCTATTTCATAAAAAGTTGATAGCGCCTTTTTGGCGTCGCTTGTTGCAACGCTATTCTCTTCGTTACCAAAAATTACTTAAAAAGACACCTTTTTTCGTGAATTTTGTCTGTCCTTGATATCTTGTCCCGCACTGTATAATCTGATAATTGGAGTCTATTTACAGGGAATTGATGTTGATCCTTATTGAATGAATTCATCGCACAATACAATTCTAATTTATATTTCAGGAGTTGTCGAAAAACTTTGAAACTATCACGTGAGGACAAACCGATAAGTCACGTGATTTGAAGAAAAATTGCAATTGCCCTATTGCCTTAGAATCTAGATTGAGATATTTACTAACTCAATCTGAATCGCATTCACTTGATACACGCTTTACGGCTTCACCTGTATGTGTATGTATGTTTGTTTGTATGTCAGTTTGTTTGTAACTCTCAAGCTCGAGATCTGTATTCGACAGAATTATTGACATTATTGCTTGATCTATTCGCGGACAGATGGCGCTGTACGTAACCTCTTTGATAGCCACAAGAAACCCTTGCGGGTTGCGGTGGAGGGTTGAATAGACCCACTCACTTTGGACCTGACCGCCTTGATATATCGACATTATGGCTTGATCTAGTCACGGGCAGATGGTGCTGTACGTAATCTCCTTGATATGATTCGAACCCACTTTACATGTATTTCTTCATTTGAAAAAAGTAGTTTTTTTTATTAAAACGCGCGCCTGTTGCCTTATTTGTAACCCTCCTTTGCGCGTCTGCTGTCTTGGGCTTGGTAGCTGATTTTCAGACTCCCTCTCCGGAATCGGAAAATGTCAATGATCATTTTTCTAAACAATATACGGCAGATAGATCCCAAAGCCTAGATAAAATTCTTATAGTTTAAAAAAACTCAAAAACACGCTTTTATAGCATACGAAACAAAAATGAAAAATAAATATAGTTCATAAATCTAAAAAACACGCTCTTAAAGAACATCACAATAACACTAGTATTTTTTGTTCGTTATTGTTTCAAGCTTATTTAAAAAAAATATTTTTTACTTCTCAGTTCGATGTTCTTTAAAAGCGTGTTTTTTAGTTTTTTAAACTCTAATCTCTCATTGAAAGTTACTATCGATAGTTTTATTTCGGAGACTTTTTTATCCATGCCGGTTTCAAAATTGTCACAGTTTCGAACCATTTTGTTATACATCAATAACCTATTGAAAAGACTAGAGAACCAATAGATTACTTTCCTGACGACAATAAAGTTCTATCGTCTTTCCATTTAGATACAGAACAACAGCTGTGAAAGCATATCATCGAATACAACAAGAAATTTCAGCTTTTTGACAACGAAATTCACGTTTGAAAAATATAGTGGTTCAGAAGGTGAATGAGACAAAACCAGGTACAAAGTTGTTGACATTTGGGATCAAATTGATATTATGTGACTTTGTTTTTAGTTTTGGTCCATAATTCGAAGAGCTGAACAAAATACACGCCACAGTTTTCGATTCTTGCACCACCTATCAACATGCTTAAAAATCTTGTTTCTCTCGTTGAGAGTTTTTGACAAAACAAAAGTGAATCGATGGAAACACCAGGCTTTCTATGAATCTTACTCTCTGCTTCATGAACAACGGAACCCGCACTAATTTTATTTTTAACTAATGTTACTGCAGTTTCGTCCTATAAGGACATTTTCAAACTTATTCATACGACGAAACTGCAGTTATGTTAGTTACAAAAAAGATAGAAATTTTCAATTCTCTTTTCTTCGTAATTATTTTCTACCACGTAGTAACGGCTACATCCATCAATTTATTTTCAAGTTTCAATTTATTCCACAGGAAAACGTTCTTCGGCGCCCTCTAGTGAGGAAAAGAGAAGTATTTCAACAAAATCAATAGATACAACAGGTCTGGATTACAGTTCTCTTTCCGCTGAAATCGATATCGTGCACTCTGTTGCAAAAGCAGTATAGAAACCTTTATTGCTGAAATTCGAATGACTTCAGAAATATCAAGTGTCGCCATCTGTCTACCATGGAAAGAACGCATGAAGGGAGTTCAAAAGGTAGTTTTGCTTGATTGACTGTTTTTTGAGATTTTTGAAATTGAGAGATTTTATTTTGTTACTTAAAGAAAAAGGAACGCTTTATGACATTTCGTTTAAAAAGTTACAAGGCAAATAAACTTTGAGCTTGTGTGAGAGCATTTTTAAGGTTCAGGAAAACAATTATTCTATAGTTCAGAGTACTTTTCAATACAACAGATGGAAATTATATTTCTTTTTATGAACGTCTAAAAGTTTGGTATTATATCAAACAACGGGATAGTTATTGAAAGATTGAAGTGGAAACTCTGGCATATAATGAATTCAAAATAATCAATTTTCCCAGTCACCAGAAATGCAATACTTTTCTCACCTACCAAGTTGGCGTCTTCAGGAGATGAAGAAAACTAATTCCTGTCTATAAAACTCTCTATTCATATCTAACAGAATAAACTTCGATAATTTTCGGTAGAAGGGCTCATCGTCTTTTTCTTTGCATTACTCTGTTGAAATTTGCGGGAACATTCACAGGAAAATTTTCCTGCAATTTGTATCCGAAATCATTAATATTTATCGCACCCTGTTGAAATTAGCGAAAACTTCTACGAGAACATTTCCCGTAAATTTTTATCCGAAACTATTTTGAGAGTTCGAAAGTTAGGAGTCACTTTTCTTCATCTCTTGAAGACGCCGATTGGTGGAACGCCAGCCGAGAAGAGTAATGCATTTCTGATGATTGGGTGCTAATTCTGGAATGGAATAGTTATACTCATTTGAGACGAAAAATGACGCAACTAAGTTGAACATTTAAACTTTTCACAAATTTTATCGCATCATCTTTCAGATCATAGATGTTGTCTCTTAGATTTTTCTTCGCGCCTTGGGGCAATTACAAAGTATGTGACGATTCGATTCAAAGAAGTATCGAATTCTATGCAAAAGCATAAAAGAACAGACCTCACAGACGTGACAATTTCTGTCTATTGTTCATTGCGTGAAGCAACCACTTATCGAGCTTTTCGACCTTTCCAATATATTTCAATCTATCAAAAACCACATGGGAGCTGATACCCAGTTCTTCCGCCATCCCACGCACCGTTTGTTATGGGTCAGTCTCCACCAGGGTACTTTAATCATCGTCCTCGATTACTTTAGGTCTACCACTTTGTGGCTCATATTCGAGCCTGAAATCTCCGGAACGAAAATTCGCAAACCAAAGAAAAAACAATACCTTCATCAACAAAATAATAATAATAGTAATAATATATTTATTCACTATATTAAATGACAGAGTTAATTATATAATACATAATGATTTAAGTAGGTAGGTAAATGGTTTTGATGATATTTTTGTATTTAATTTCATTGGAGAAAACTCAGTCTACAATGAAGACGAAGACCTCTGAAGAACAGTCTTTTGGTCCTATTGTATTATTTCAGAAATTATTCTTTATATCGATCAGTTGATGGGTGAATGATCTAGGAAAGTTTGAAATAGACTTTTTCAGTTCTTCTTCGAATAGGTTTAGCGAGTTGATTGTTTTAAGTTCACTGGGAACTGCATTGAATACTCTGGGTTTGACGGAAGGCACTGCGAGGTGGTCCTTTCCGAGTATTATATGTGTGCACGTAGTAATTTTTAGATCCTTTTTTTTTTCCTGCTTCACTATCAAGACGTTCGAAAATAATTGTTCAGTACTTTTGCTAGATGATAAATTCAATCACTGGAATATAATCGATCTTTCGAGTATATTATCCTTAGTATCCATTTCTGGAGTACATCGAGTCCGTTCATTTGATTTTTGTAGGCACCTCCCTAAGCTGTTATTGCATACCCCAATTGTGATTCCACCAGTGCGAACTGTAAAATTCTCAAGCATCTTATTTCAATATTTTTCTTGATACGTTTAAACTTTGCTATGAGGCTTCTCAATTTGAAAGTGAGCTTTTTCATGTGTGTGCCCCATTTCAAGTGGCTATCTAAGTAGACTCCCAAGTATTTCATGGTTTTGATTATGGGTGTTATCATTGTCGGTCATTGATAATTGGTAATTGGTAATTTGGAGTCGAACCATATTTTCATTTTGAGAAAATTTTTCTCGACTATGCCAAACAACTCTTGCCAATTTTTACTAGAATAGAAGATTGCGGTGTCATCCGCAAAGCTGATTTTGTGACCTTTTGTATCAACATTGTATAAATCATTTAGGCACATGTTGAATAAAATGGGGCTCGATACTGTACCTTATAGCACTCCAAATTTCACAGTTTCAAAGTGACTGAGTCTGCCGTCAATTTTTTACGCATTGTTTTCTTCTTTCTATATAACATTGCATCAATTTATACATATTGCCTCTCAAACCTGCACTTTCAGTGGTTTTCAGGAGTTTCTGGTGACACACTGTATCAAAAGCTTTTGCTAGATCCACGAATATGCACAAAGAGGGGTGACTTTTTTTCGAGCGTTTGATATATTTTTGTAGTCAAAAATTTTATATTGCTGAAAATATTCCTATATTGTTGATTATAGTTAAAAGTATTTTTCCAAAATAAGATATCAGTGATGAAG